TTTTTTTTTTTTTTTTTTAACTTTTGTCACTTTTTTTAAATTCTTGTCACTTTTTAGTGTTTGTCACTTTTTTCTATCACATTTTTTTATTATTTATCACTTTTTTCCTATCACTTTTTAAAAATTTGTCACTTTTTTTTAGTAACAAACATCACTTTTTAATTATCATGTGAATTTGTGTTATTTTGGTATTTGTCACTTTTTTGAGTTTGTATCACTTTTTAAGAGTGTATCACTTTTTTTTGAGTTTGTGTCACTTTTTTTTTTAAAAGTAAAAAAGTGACAATTTTTATAAAAGAAAGTGACATTAAGTCACTTTTTCATTTTACACAGTATTTTTTACTTCCTGAAAATATTTCATATGATTTTTCAAAACATCCCTAATTTTAAGGGTATTTTTGTAAGTACCCCATTAATATTTTAGCCAAGGTGCATGTTGCCCACACATAGTGGAGTTAATATCCTAAATAGTCACTAAACTTTGCCAAAAGTTCTTAGGAGGTCACCGAATTTCAAAACTTCCCTAAGTAGTAACTGTACTTTGCAAAAAGTTCTAAGAGTGTCACTGAACTTTAAAACTTCCTTAAATAATCACTGAACTTTGCAAATTGGAGCCCCATACATTAATAGTTCAATGACCTTATAGGAATTTTTTGCAAAGTTGAGTGACTATCTAGAAAAGTTTTGGCAAAGTTTGGTGACTATTTGGGAAAGTTTTGAAGTTCAGTGACTCCCTATGATCTTTTTATAAAGTTCAATGACTATTTAGGGAAATTTTAAAGTTCAATGACCCATTGAAAACTTTTGACAAAATTCAGTGACTATTTAGGGTATTAATACCACATAGTGGAATAAGTGCAACTTACAAAAACACCCTTAAAATTATGTATGTTTCAAAAAATCATATAAAATGTATTTTGAAAGTAAAAAATACTGTTTAAAATTGTCACATTTTAATAATAAAAAGTGATACAATGACACTTTTTTAAGTTACTAGTGGTATGCCCGTACAATGTACGAGGTTTGATATTTTTAAGGGAATGTTAATGTATCAAATATTAATGGAAAGCTAAATTATTGTAAAAGTTCAGTGAGAATTTAATGGGGGCAATATTAATCTTTCTAAACTTGCTAACGTTTGACAACTCACATTTGTGTTCCGTGCCAAAATATTTATAGTACCCACTGAACAAGGAAGAAAGTTTAGTGGAAAATAAAGGATCGAAAATATTATCTAAAAATCTTAATGTCAAGGAAGTGCAAATGTAGGTTTGACTTCTGCGCAGATAAGAGAATCCTTCAAGTTTTGAACTTCACTGAATGAGGAATAAAGTTATTTTGAACACTAATCAATTAAACAGTGGATTGCTTCAGGGAAAAAAGTTTCGCAAATGAACAATAAACGGTGGATTGCCCAACAAGCAATAAGAGATTCAAATTCGAGGGGGCAGTGCCCCTCGTGGGGGTTCGGGGGCAACGCCCCGACGGGGATCAATCTGAATTTAGTTTGTGTAAAATGTAAGCAAATGTTATCACCTAAATTTAAAAATAAGTGTTTGTAAATTTGGTTAATGTTATTTTTAAATGTATTGTACAATTTTGAAATATAAATATTTTTTTTTTGCTATGTGTTTATCGTATATTATCGTTTCCACTGTGTAATTAAAAAAAAAAAAAAACAAAGGTCCGCGCAGTGCGGAGCATTCACTCGGCACTGCACATAGTATTATCTGAGGATTTTTTTTTATTTGTTTTTTTTGCTGCTAAGAAATGGTAGAAAGTCAACAATTGTGGGCATGTGGAAGGAAAAAGTCCAAATTACCCTTAAGCTTTATATAAATAGTAGAGGATGAATAGCGATAAATTGGGATTAAAAAAAGCTTCAGGAATGAATAGTAATGGATGGATTCACTCTTTTATTATAGTAGGAAAATGTCATTTTATAACTAAATATGTCACTTTTATTAAAACAAAATCACGATGTCTTCCAAAAAAGTGACAAAAATTTCAAGAAAGTGACAAACACTAATAAAAATAAGATATTCAAAAAAGTGACAAACATCCAAAAAAGTGATAAAATATCAATTAAAACATTAGAATCGGTTCAAAGTGTCAACAAAAAAATTGACACAACCACCGCCTCTCCACTTCTTCATTCATCACTATCATTATCTACCAACTTAGCCAACTCATTGCCTTCCACTTAATGAAGAACCCAACAGGAGAAACAAGTTGATTTTTTCTTTCAATCTCCATTGTCAGAAGAAGCTAACCCCCTCACTCTTTTTTTCTATATCTATCCACACAATCCTTAATGCCGTTACAAAATGTCTAGTTTATATACACCACCACCTCAACTGTCGCTACTCACCAATGCTGAAAATGGCTATGCCATGCCCACCAATAATAGAACTATATCCAACAGCTACCATATTGACGCCTCATCATCATCATCACCACCACCGTCTGAATCTTCTAATTCTTCGTCAATTAGTATAGTGATCGTTGTAATCGTCTAAGCCATTATTGTCTCGTCGTTCATTTACGTCTTCAAAAAAGTGAAAAAAAATTTAAAATGTAACTGAAATTCAAAAAGGTGATTGACATTCAAAAAAGTGACAAACACATAGATAGATCCGACAGATAAGTTAAGTTTCTTCTATATACTGTTTTTGGTAATTATACTTATTTTATTAATTAAACATATAACATAATTTCATTTTAAGAACATAATAATCTATTAGTTGAGAGGATCAAGAATTCAAAAAAGTGACAAACATTTAAAAAAGTAACAAAACACAAGATGAACACTTGAAGTGAAAATTGGACAGATGACTTGGATTGATGGAGATGTTGCATCCCCAACAAAACAACACTTGAAGATGAAATTTGATTTACAAATTGTTGACATACAAAAAGTGTAGCCCAAATTGAATAGTCAAAGGAATGAAACTCAATTAGGAAATCCAGGATGAATGCCCAAATAGGACCATTAATGAATGCAGTGGAGGTTCACGAACAAAGTAACATCATCGCCCAAGTTTACAAGACGCTCAGGATCTGAGCGAATGGAGTGCCTTATGGTCGCCCAGAGCGATGATCCCATTCTCGTCCAAACCTTCAAGTCGCCTAGGATCTGAGCGAATATAAGGTATTATGGTTATCTAGCACAACAGTTATTGAAGCGGTTATTGAGCAACCTTATCACACCCCACAATCCAAAAATCCTAGTTGTAGCCAGTTAAACGACAAGAGTAATGACAACAGTTAGAGGCGGCAGTTTCATGACAAGTCAGCCATGATGAAGAAAGTGGGTAGTTATAGAGTATCAAGCAGTTTCCAAGTAGTTTTTCACAAAGAAACTATCAAGGTAGTATAAAAAGGAAAGGAAGACATAGAGAAAAGGACCCCGAATCAAACACTCTCAATAGAGAATATGTAATCTAAATTTCTTAGTTTAACTTTAAAACATTTCTTTTTAGTACTCGTGTGCTTGCGCCCCTTGGAGGCATTCTGTTTATTTCCAATTGTAATTTTCATCAATAAAGCACCTCTTTTTGGGACTTTGTCTCAAGA